GTCGCCAACTTCGCGCGTGTAGTGTCCTTCGGGACATCCGCCCCAAAGCTGCCATCGCATCTAATCTCCAATATGTACTGCAACAAAATACAGCTAAGGCTTCAGGCAACATACTCTCACGCACCACAAGATGTCGAAGGACAAGCTATAGCAGATTACTATAGATATTTATAGGAATGCGCAACCTGGCGGAGTACTATGCCGCAGTACCATTCGACGGAGCACAATGCAACCAAAAGTCATGTAAACTGTGACAGAGCGGCAGAGCATCTTTGCACAACGCACCAAGGGTCCGAGCCTGGTAGCTTTGCCTCGATGGCAGCCATGATCTTCAGCTCGGCCCCAGCACGGCCCCAAGGAGGACCAAAGATGGCCAGGCCTTCCGCAGCACTGTGTTTCAGTCGGGGGTAGGAAAGGGAAAGCAGTGGGTACACCGAGAGAGGGGACTCCCAAGCACCCGGCGTTCAGATGGTCCTTCTCGCTCCAGCCCTGGGCCTTGCAGCGCTCTGAGCCCGAATTCGGCCTCCTGCCTGCCTGCCTTGAGTGCAGCCCACTCCGGCCTAAGGACGGGGTCTGGTAGTCGCAGAAGAACATGAGCGTTCCCCACTCCTGCCCAGGCAGAGAGCGTCGGCTAATCAGTCGCAGCTTCCACGGGCGGGGCTTCTGCCTCCTCGCATGCGCGCAGGAAGTTTCCTCCAGAGCCTGAGGCTGTGAAAAGCAGAAGGATGCAGAAGCCAGGAAGAAACGCCGAAATTGTAAACTACACGGTTTCGAGAACCGACAAACCACTGCCCCAGCCTGTCACGAAGGCCACACAGTTGTTTGGGACGTCCATCATGGTGAGATCTCCGTCATCCTAGCAGGATGATGACGACTTTTGCCCGACGGTAGCAGTCGTAGCATGTCTGGCTGCACACTTTGCTCTGCGCAACTCTCATCACACATGCACAGCGCGGCACATTGGCTGCTGAGCGAGCCACATGGCCATTGTCCACGTGCACGGGCCCGACACGTTGAGCTTGCACCTCGGAGCTTCCGAAAGCAGGCCAAGCAGGTCACAATTTCGGCAAGTTGCGGTGCTCAGCCTCTGGCGAGGGAGATGTACTTCTTCGCCCTGGCACAAGCCTGCGAACTTAGATCCAGCGCAGCTTATTCCTATCACGACCAAGACCCAGTGACACCGGGTTCCAGCTGAAACAACTTCTCGAAAGAGCAGCTACTGACTGGCCTCTTCCGAACCCGTCACCTCGACTGTATTATTCCTGACGAAGCAGAAGCTACAAGCTTGAATTTTGGCTGTGGCATGAGTCCGGATTTCCCCCGTCGGCCTTTCGTGAAGCTCTAGCCGTGCGCCTGAGATCTTATGGCTCCATGAACGTGCGATTTTGCTCCAACCAAGGAACCCTGGTCTTGCAGACCGTGGGCTGACAAAAGAAGCGATGCCTGCAACGATACGAAGACCTTCCTACTGTCTGGTACCGGCCGGCGACTAAATCCATGCAGGACATCCCACGCCCTGTCCAAGAATCTACACCATAGAGTTGAATAACCGTATGCCCAAGATGTGTCCCGGCCGAACCCTGATTGACTCTCTGAGCCGGGGTGCCGGAGACTCTGGCGATCTTGTGCTTGGTCTTGCCACCCCTGCCGAGGATGAAGGCCTTGGCACCGCAGGCTCATCACAGTCTTTTGATAGCAATATAGCAGCAAGGGACATTCGATTCCTTTACCACATTCTCGGGAGCCTGTGAAAGGCTGAATGGGGTTCCTGCAGTGTCGGCATCGTCGAAGTGCAAGCGCAGTCTGTGCTGAGGAGCTTCAGGACGTCCATTCTTGCCGTCCTCAGCTGCAACTGTCGTCCCACTGGCACGGCTTGCGATCTCTTCTAGGATGTTGCCAGCCTGTGAGTATGCGCACTGCTTTGCTGAGTCGATAACCTTCTTTGGCCTGCCACCCTTTGAGTGCTCCTACCGCCAATGCTTGCTCAACGGTGCGAGGATTGGAGGCTTGCGATGCGCGGCAGCATGTTCACAGCGAGAGATCCTCCACCTCGCCATTCTCTTGTGCTTGGCCAGCTTTCACCCACTGGAGTCGGGGCTCCTCCCACCTCCGTGTGGTGTGAAGTCTTGAGCAATCTTGCTTCCGTACGGCTCCCTTCGTTGGAGTCTCTACGTCAAAACCCACGTCTTAGCATGAAGCTTTGCGACTTCAGCAGAGATGGTGGAAGGCTGTTAGAAAAAATCGGTTGCAAACCCAGCACATGCCTGTCGTCCCAGGAGCCACCATAGCCTCCGTAACCTGACTGCACAGGAAGTTGCACAGCCTTCTACAAGAGGCAGCCCGAAGCAGTCGCAAAGGTAGGAATGACACTACCGTTGCCATCAGTGCGGAAGCACACTTCAAACGGAATGCCAAGACAGGATTTGCAAGCCAACCGGCAGCATCAGCAAGAAGAGTAGGACTCGGAGTATCAACAGAAACAGGTTGCAAGAAAGCACAGCCGGTGTAACACCATCACAGAGTAGCGCGATTGCCATCATGACGACTGCGATAACAGCGTCGACCACCATCGTGGCCGCTGCTTTTGCTACAACTTCTGGAGAACAGCGAGTCATCTGATCAAGACTGTCTTGGCTGCAAGACATGCAGAGTAGACAGCCTTAATCCCGACATGTTGTGCACAACCCTCAAGCTATCCAGATAACCAAGTTGACCTAGACTGGTCATGGAGATGCTGTTTAGCTACTTGCGATGTACATTGAACTATTGACATATTCATTCTGTGCTCACTATCACTATGATTGCCATCAGGCTATCGCATTCAGGATGAGTGAGATTCACAATTGACACCTCCCTACCTAACGTTTCATGTGCATAGGATCGCATTATGATTCAGGCTACCGTAGCCGCTGGGCTTACCTTCATGCCAAGTAGTGTGCTCACAAGCTTTCACGTTGTTGATTTAGCTCATGTTGTCGAACGGTTCATCCTTTTGATTTGCATGGTCTCTTCTTTTTCCATTCCGCTCCGCAGCTTGCCTCATACGCATTATGGTACTTGTCTTATCATGAACCTTTGTAATATACTGCATACTGAACTTAGTCGTATGACTCAGTATGTTCGCTTCAAGCTACCCATATTTCTGACAGTAGACACGAATCCTGTGACTTTGCTGATGTTGCCCACTGTTCCTACTTGGCTTCGTGGCGTCGTGTGTAAGTGCCTCCGCCACAGGGCTTACCACATCATATGACGCCGCTGCTGGTGGTAACGGTGATGCTGCAGTCATGATGGTGGCTGCAAATGGGCCGTGACGATAATTCGCTTACGATGATGACAAGGATGCTCTTGTCGATGAACCTTTTGATGAGCACCATGTATAACGGACCCCACCAACGCAAGCACAACTACAAGCATTGGGAGCGCGCACATCCATCACAATCATTGGAGTGGCAGCACGCATTATAATCTACAGCTGCAAAGTGCAGCGCCCGGTATGATTCTCATGAGTAGGATGTTGACTATCATTACAGTTCTAAGTTTATCTCGGCACGCTTCGCATTACATCACCATTATCGGATCACCGTCCAGCTGTCTAATGCGGACGCAGGGCAGGTTAGTTGGAGGCGGCTGTTTGGTTGCCGTTGCGGTAGTCGTCTGCTGTGCCTTTTTATGTTGACGCTGTTGCTCCCCCTTTTCTTCGTCTTCTTCTTCTTCTTCGTGTTCTTTATCTTGTTGGTGGGGTGGCGATGGTGCTGACGCTGTCCATAGTTGTTGCAGCATCTCTGGTCACTACAAGAGGATTGCGGCATGACTTGCACAAACAGCAGTCGTGATCGTGGTCATATCAAGATGGTGGCTCACGAATACTTATGCGAGTCACCACTGTGTAGTGAGTCGGGAAATTCCTCACCCAATCCCCGCCTCGGTCGCGGCGCCGGCCCATGACCCAATGCGCGAAGGTCTTGCTAGCGAGACTTGCGCTCATGCACTCAGCTACTGCGAACGGTTCCTTTTGTGCTATGACTATGAGGCTGGGGTGCGATTCTCCCGCACGCCTAAGCGCTCCTAAGATCAAAACTCCTGAACTTCCTTTCGCAAGGCTTCTTGAGATCTCATAGAACAACGCAAGAGGTTTTCCGGCTATAGGAACTTGGGCATTTTGGTTATCTTCTTGGGTTTCCGTAACATGCCCTCCGATTCGCAGTATTTCGAAATGGCAGCCGCGCAAAGGAGAAGAAACTGTCATCCATCACTTGTGCCAACACAAAGGAGCATAAAGTGATTTCGGGGTCTCCACCCTTTCAGCTGATCCCTATTCAAACAGCTATGATCCATAGGCTGCTGCAGTGGTGCCCGGGGGTGCGTCGCATGACTTCCTACATGCTGAGAGTGCTGTGAGAGTCCAGCTAGCTAGGCCATCCGTTGCCACAAAAGTCTATCGCGAAAGGTTGGAAGAAATGACCAGAACGGAAATAGGAGAAGGAGCCGCTGTGATGCATTTCAGCATGCGGCCCTGTTGTTTCAATCTGGGTACGGCGGCTAAAGGCACTGGTCAGAGCTGTACAATGCCCCAGCAGTGTTACACCGCTAGAAGCCGCGCGATTGTGCTGGAAGCCCCAAACGGTTGTGTGCTCGTGGCAGAAGCAGCCACCGTGTCAGGGCAGCCGTGCTGGGCCTGCCTGTTCGATGATTTCAGCCTTGGGGGCACTTTCTGCTGCGAGATGCTTTGAGGCCAAACTTCAAACTCAGAAGAACCCATGGTGAGCGTAAGGACGGACGGGCAGTTGGCAGCATCCCTAGACCATTAACAACTGCAATGTTGTATGCCGCTTTGGGCAAGTAAAACCATTGCATTCCCATAAGAAAGCCGCGATGTCTCAGTTCGTTGGAAAATCCATGCAGAACACACAAGTCGCAAATAAGATAGATGCAAGCCTGACCTTGGAGACATCGCCGGATATTTCAAACATTGGCGAGGATACACAAATGCCCCACCGTCACGATTCATGGAATGCCTGGAGCTGCTCACATACTTCCTGATTGGCCACTGCATCCAGCAGAAAGCCTTCCAGTTCAGAACCGTAAAACACTGCTAAACCATAGCAGCTGTCAGTCAGACACAACTGAACCTCGCCTGCATGCGGTTGGTCCTCGATCCAGTGCAGCTCCAGCTGGGCCTTGGCTTAGCTTTGAGATGCTTTGCGCGTCGCTTTTTGCCCGCAGATTTCCCACCTGAGGTCGCGCCGACTCCGTCAACTTGGCCCTGTGCAGAATCGACCAAGCTCGGTTCCAGGACAGCTCACAATGGTGGGTTCTCTGGCCTGCGCCGCTGCTCTGCGTAGACGAGGCTTCGCACGGAGTAGGTCGGGACAACAAGATCTTCAGACTCCAGAACGATGAGGGCTGCAGTGCCTGCCGCACCGGAGCTCCGCAGCACGGTTGAAGCACTTCGGAGTTCAGGGAAGCAGGATTCAGCTGTGCATTGCAAGCAACAAGTCTTCTCCACGATTCACGGTTTGCGCCTTCCAAGTCCTGCATGTCCTCAGCTGCAGTAGAAACTCAATGGTGTCCAAACGCACAGCAAAACCTTCATGCAATGAACTGAGGCACTTCATGCAGGTTAGACTCCAGATGCGATTCTTCCCAGAAGAAGCAGCGGCAGACAAAGTTGCAAATGAAAAGCTCTGTCATAACGAAGTATTTCAGCACAATCTCCATCCTTGCAAATGCATCTCTCTACTGCACATGTCGGATTTGTCATCCATGCCCTGCGTTCGCTGCTGGAGTTAGCATGCTCCACGGAGTAGAAAATTGATCAAAGGAACGGGTCCATGCCGGTGTCATGTCGAACCTGTTGAAGCTCGTGGCCTGCACCAGATGTCTGCAGCAAATACACCCGCTACATTCATGGCTCACTCCGGCCGTATCACTTCGGTCTCTATCCTTTTTACCCAGAACCTAGAGTCGCGTGATGCAATGCACCCACGTGATGGCCTTGAACGAGCACCTTGAGCAGCAAGAAGCAAACGGGGTCGATGAGCGTGGTCCTCTGCCGAGGGAGGTGAGACCTACTCCGTCGCTCGATGCCGCACTCAGGCTCCCTTGCACCGGATGCCTTGCCACGCAGCTGTGTGCGTAGCGCAGGACCCAGGCCACCACGAAGGCCCCAAAGGAGTGCCCAATGAAGTGCGCCTCTTGCAGGCCCCAGACCTCCACACAGACAGCTGGTGCAGCGTTGGCTTCTTTGAAGCTTCGTTCGCTCTGTACGAGAAAGCCGAGCCAATGCTCCGGATGCCCTCGGTTTGCACCGCAGCCGATGCCAGGGACTGGACTTTTTGGTTGTTTGGAGGTGAGCGTCGGTAGGCAAATTGGCTTTGCAAGAACTGCATGCAGCCGGAAAGCACGAGCCAAACACAAAATGCAAATGACCATTTTAAGAAGCTGCAGCCACGGCAAATTCAGATCGATTGTGTTTCTACAGGAAGGCATCTTTGCCAACTTCTTTGCAACTGTTCTTCAGCTTGGCTTCTGTTCTTGCTTGGGTGACTCTGCCCGTCCAGACCTGTCCGGGCACCTTGATCGTCGGAAGAGTGATGACTCTTCGTAAGCTTCAGGAGTGCACCCTGCAAGCTGGCCTGGAGCATGTTCCGGATGTTCGCAGCCACCTGAACCAGAGCTCTCAGTGTCTCTCCTCTCGTTCGAAGATGCCGCCGCAAAAGGAAGGCTTTATATCTGCCGGTGCACCTCGTGGGCACCCGGGACGTCGTCTGAAAACCTCATGGAGATGCCTGCGGTGTCGACCAGGAAGATTGGATGGTCCTGCGTCTGCAGATGGCTGGCTATCTAATCGCCAAGCCTTATCGATTTCGTAAGATGCCTGGTGCAGTTCGAGATCGTGGTTCCGTGCTTCTGATCTCCCGGGCGTATCGTTGCTGACCGGAACTTTGTCCAACGATCTGTGTCGTGCGTGTGAGGACGTGCGAGGTCAGGGGAAAGGGAGATCTGTCCACCGGCAACGGGAGAGGATCTGAGGACACCAGCGAAGCGGAGGGGAGGAGGACTCGCCGAGGCTCTGCCACAACAAAGGGCCAACAAAAGTCATCCAAGGCTTCCCGTCCTGGCCCAAGGTCCTCGTGAGCCTCTGCAGGAAGGTAAGGCACCTGGGATGCTTGGCAGTTCTTCGGGGCCCTAGAGCTGGACAGAGTTGTGGCAGCCGCATTGCAGGTCCCACTCCAACTCCGTGGCAGAAGACCAGAGCCTTACCAGACCTCAGAGAAGGGACTGGCCGGGCATAGTTCAAGCTACTCGTACTGCAAGGGATGTCTGGTGCGGGTCCGAGAAGCTCGAGCAAGCGCGGCCGGCCGACGCCGGCCCTTTCCTGACTGCGCACGCCTGCAGGTCGCAGCCAGTACCTGCAGGGCGTGTCAAGAAAGGAAGCCCTTGGCCCATGGGCGCGGTGCGGGTTTCTGTTCTTTGCAGATGAGCGGCTCCGTGCTTCCTGACCGGTAGGGGTGGAAGCCCAACAGGCTCAGAGCCTCAGAAGCGAAAGCACTGAGAACGCGTGCCGGATCCCGAGCTGATGGAAAACACCCGCCTGGTGACCCAGCGCCGGTGCCACCAGGGCAGTGTTCACATATGCCAGCAGTGGACGATGCACTGCTGGAAATCTGAGGGGCCCAAGCCAAAGGGAACTGCTCATGTTCCGTTTGACATGCTCTGGCTCCATTCAATGTCGGTCTCAGGCAGCCACGGATCATTCCTCAGGCGGAAGCATCTTAAGCCTGGCATGTTGTCAACGACGTCATCCGACGCCAAGAAGGGTCCAGTTGCACCTCCTGACATAGCCTCCTGAAGCTACGATGCTTTTCTGCTCCACTTGAGTTTCAAGGCGCTTAGACTTCAGCGTAGAAACTCAGTGTGAGTTGCTACCAGAACTAGAGCACGGAGGCAGTGGCAGCCTTCGTTCTTTCCAGGCCAGTTGGGCATGTCGCTCAAAGGGAGAGCGGCCCAGGATGCGACCGCCTCGACCAGCTCCTCGAGAAATGCGGAAAGTACTTTGAAAAAGGCGGACCCCAACATGCACCCAACATGGTAGGGTAGGATCTTTATCACACGGACCCCTAAGCTGGGTACCCCGCATTTTAAGGAACCCCCTACGAACCTAGATTCCCTTCTTGCTGACACTGAGTCGCCAACAACACTGCGCAAACCGAACAATCTCATCACAGCACTGAGGCGAAAAGGATTTGCGCGCGCGCGAGCCACAACACGCTCTCCGGTGAGTTAGATGCGAATCAGAAGGCGAGCGGCGTCTAGTTCAAGGACTTCAGGATCGGAGAGCTCCGCAGCAGACTCGGCTCCATCGAAGAAATAGGAGAGGATCCACTGCTCTATGTTTCCGCCTCAGGCATTCAGCAGCCCCAATCTGGCCGTTCGGACATGGGTTTTAGCTCCCTTCGCATGAACTCTTGCTACGTTGGGTCGGGCACAATTTTGCCCATCACGTTCCCCCATCGTGCCGACATGCGGCGGCCAATCAGGCGAACGTCTTTGCAAATCACCCTCTTGCCCGCGGACAAGATTGAAAACCTCAGGTCCACTCACGGCCGCAAACCTTGAGACTAGACATCAGGTGAGCTACGAAGATTGGGGTTTACTAGCCGGCAATAAAGTCACCAGATGGTACCACCTCCACACTGCGCGGCAAAAAGCTGGAGCATCAGTGCAATCGAGCTTCCATGAGCAGAGCTCCAGATGCTTCAAACATTGTACGTCCTCGGATACAAACGTGGCTGATTCTTGTGCGTGAGTGTATGGGACACCAAATGCCCTGACCTCTGGAGCACCCCAACTCTCGACCCTGCTGCTTTACCCTTTCGTCCCACCGTTTGCCTGAAGAATTTTGGTCGTTTCTGATGAAGAAAAAGCTCTGTGGTATGCATGCGACTCAGCGCAGTCCATCAAAAACCGACCCCTTGCTCTGGCTGAAGTTCCTTCCTGCGGAATCCGAATCCCCTCCGCCCCTGGCAGCTCCAAGCTTGGCTTATGCCTTACGCTCCCTCTTGTGCCCATGCTGCCGGGAGTCCACTTCTCCAGGGCTGCGTGGGGTTCCGACTTCGTCGGCCTGCCGGGAGTGCGCGGTCCGCGACTCTGCCTTGACCCCCCAGCCCTGGTGCAATCTATCTCACTGTCCGCCTACGTAGCATAGATCTATATGGGTTTGATTGGATTTGTACATCTTTCCTCTACTATATGCACAGGACGACAGCTCGCTGGACAGAAAGATTGCATTAAAGACTGAGCAGGGGGGAGAGAGAGGGAGAGAGAGAGAGAGAGAGAGAGAGACGGAGGGAGAGAGAGTGAGTGAGAGCGCGAGGGAAGAGACACGGCAGACAGGCAGATCCACCCAACATGCAGCGCACGGACACATTGACACACAGTACACATACACATGCATACATATGGGCGAAGAAGGAAAAGCCGCTGCCTCAAGGCGCAGACATGCTCCAGCTTAACAAGCATGGTGCGTGGCTATTCGGCGAGCCTCACGCAATCGGAGGAGGTTCTCCACCGACGGGGCCTGGCCTTGTCAGGGACGGAAAGCGGCTCCTTTGCACTGCTTGCGAATTTGCCAACGAGGACTGCATGATACTGCATGTAAAGCCGGAGCTCAGGCCTTTGCTCGTGTAAGCACGAGCTCTCCGCAAAGCAGGTATACGGCGTATACGGTATACTGCCTGGGCCTCCCGCATATCGGCCGCAGTGCAGGTGGACGAGCTCTGGCGGCCTGAGAGTTGTCTTCGGACTAATTTCTAAGTTGCGGTCGGACGCAGTGATGTAAAAACCTCAAGGAGTCGCGAAGAACCCACAACGAGAGCCAGGAAGCTGCCGGCTTCGGCGCGCTCGTGGCTGGAAGATACCAGAATCCAGGCTCTGGTTCATCAGCCAGGCGCAGAAAGTTCTCCACCTTGACATCTGTGCGATGACCCCATGGCCCCCACTCCTTCGGATGTTGCAGTGAGCAGCTTTCGTTGCTGAGGGTGCAGCTGAGGGATCGGACATCAGCTTGGCCCTCGCCTCCTGACCAAATATTTTTTAAAGCAAATGCTAACCATCTTGCAGTCGTGCGGCAATACGTCATCCTCGTGCTACAACAAACATTCTAGTCCCAGTGCAGAAGCTGTTCTTAGTGTACACCCTGACGTAGAATCTTGAGCGGCCCAAGGGAAAAACGCACCGGCTCTTGCAGAAGTCTTGGGGAATCAAACTCCAAATTGCGAACATTATCCAGCTGTGGCAGCGCGGGGTGTGAGAATTGCGAGGATGCTGCTGATGCTAACCAGGTTAGCAGGTCCTTGCCATCCGACGGTCTGCGCTTGTGGCGACTCCAAAAGTTGAACAGCCCAGCGCCTTCCTGCGCCATGGAGAAATAGAAAATCAAACAGGGAAGGAGGAGGGGAGGCTACTTGCAGCTAGTTACACCCCAAGTCATCTGAGGGCGGGGCATGCTTTGCCCAGGCGCGGCGTTGCCGATCCTCAAGGACTCAAGGCTTCTTGGCTGAAAAATTGGAGAGCCCCCGTGCGCGTAGTTTCCCGGAGATACATCGAAAACCCGACGGAGCACCAGAGTTACGAGATGGAGAAGCATCGTCCTAAGTCAAGCCCCGAACCAATTCGTGCAACAGGATCCACGAGTACTTCCTATTTGCCTGGCTCGGCACCCGACCCTCGATAGTCGGCTAAACCTCTGCAGAGAGATGAAGTACCGTCCAAGCGGCACGCTTGTTGCCGGCCCAGCCCTGGCCAGCATGGATCCTCTCCTCGAAAACCGACCCACTCGGGGGTGTTCATCATAACACTGACGCAACTTAAACTCCTAGTTTAGATATTACACGCAGGTGCCGTTTGTCGTCACGTCGTGCTCGTGCTGGGGCCGAGGCCGTGTTGGACAAGAAGTTCTCCAACAGACGCATCCTGCCCCACACCCGGAAAGCTGACGGTGCCGGGATGTGCCGGGATTTCGGTGGGAAGCTCTTGGAAGCTCGGTTTCGAGTGGCTCGATCCCTTCCCGGCCTCTCGCCTGGCGACTTCCAGAGCACGTTCGGGGCGTAGGCGCGCCTGGCCTCCAGGCTGCGCTTCTTCCACCTGGCACGTGGGACTGGTGCGCTCTTTCGCCCCGGGCTCACACTCCTCCCGCCTGCAGTAGATCCAGAAGGCCAGCTCGAAGAGAGCCCAGAGCTCCAGAGAGGACCGCGTCAAGATCCAGAACTTGGACCTTCTCGGTTGCCACTCATGCGCAGACCGCACTCGTTGCGGACCTGGGCCCCAGCCTGTGTGTCCGCACCATGATCTGATTCAAGCGCCAACTACGTCGAAGGACCACCAGCAGCGACAGCAGCGGAGCTGCTTTCATGGTGGCCACACCGACCCTGGCCTGAGATTTTACCAGGGATGATAGGAGTGCCGATGTCTGTTTACCTGTTTCGATGCAGCCACTGAAGTAATGACTCATGGTGCTCCTGCGCTCCATGAGCATAAGGTTGCAGCCAAGATTAAGCCCATCAAGGAGTTGGTCATCCAACCGACCATCATTCGCTGCAACCTGCTGGCCATTCTCCACGAAAGCTGCAAGCTGAGGGTCTACACGCTACAGTATCCTGCAGCGGCGCCTGGCTGACACTGGGACATGCTCCCATGACCGAACCACTGTCGTCTGCCTGGCCAAGCTCTGATTGCGACATTCTGGACCCCACTACATTGCATTGCTGTGTACTGTCTCTGTTCTTCGACGCCTGCCAGGGGGCAGCGCGCCCTCTCGCACAGGCAATGCGAGCACCATCTTGAATGCCAAGCTCGGACCAGATTCTTTGATGCGTTGAACGGTGATTGGTTTTGGTTCCTTCTCGGATGAGCTTGACAGAACCATTCTCAATTACAATCGTCAGACATTGCTTGCATGTCTTTGAAGCGCAGCCCAGCAAGACAGTGAATGCCAAAGCCAAACGTTGCTTGCCTCAAGCTCCACAGAGCTGGCTTTCGCGATTTGCTAAACTGCTTGCGATGCTCTACTGACATTGCTGGGGTCCGATTCGGGGTGTCCACCCTTGCAGGATCCTTTTCCTCCGCGGCACACGTTTCGCGCATCGGCGGCGGCCGAGGAAGTTTCCCTTGCGCGGTCGCCATCCATTCCTGCGGCGAAGCAGCTATCGGAACTCAGCCCTCCAAGGAGGAACTGCGCCAAGTTTGGGCTCCAAAACGTCCCAAACTGCGCCTGCTGTCGCATGGCCTCATCTTTTCGAGCGGCCTCCGTGCCAGGCAAGACAGAATTCGCTGCTTACAGCTAGCGCTTCGGAAGGAGCACAAACTTGGAAGACGGACGCGGACCATGCAAAGTCACCAGCATGCTGAGAGCTGAGACGAAAATCAGCCCCGGCCTGCAACTCTCCCCGGAGCCTGTTGAGCTCGGCCTCTGCAGTGTCCAACTTCTGCATGGCCTGCACAGCACGCAGGACAACTCAGGAGCCGAAATCCTAGAAACGTCGAACTCCCGGAATGATCTCGTGTAGTTCGCACTGACAGCTGGAACCCAGGCCTCAAGCAGCGATGAAGGTGGCTTGACCATCTCCTTTGGCTGTGCATCAGAGACCACGCGAAGCCGTTGTGTCTCGTCATCTACACTGGCCGGGTGAAGCTGCACTTTGCCTTTCGCTTCAGTCGGGTCACCAGCGCCACTTCGGGGTACCACAGCACCACTGGAAGCCTGAAATGAACAAAGCGGAACTGCGCTTTTTCTTACGTCTCGCGTGCACGGAGCATCGCGGGTGCCTCCCGTGACGACCTTCAAAGGTCACCTTCGAGCGCACCGTCATTTGAAACCAAGCGAACTCAAGCTGCCAAACTGAGAGCACGCAAGGCTAGCGCTAGTACTCGGAACATAGGATCTAACCAAATTTGTGTGAAACGGGCCACACCAAGGATGTGACAGAGATCCCGGCTACCACCCGATCCTGCCTCGCAAACTCTTGCGAGAGCCTCGTCGCCCCCTGCGACTTCCTCGATCTTCGTGATGTAACCTCCATTCAACTTTGACAAGGTGTCTTTCATGACTGATTTCATTGTCGAGGGAAAACGGGCAGATCCTGAAAGACTTCGAAAAGTTCTCACAGGTCGCTGAGGCGCAAGAAACACAGAGCAGGAAAAGCAGTCCCGCTCCAACCGGTGCTTGCTTTGCGAAGCAGGGCGGAGAGCATTTCGGTCACGGAAGTACGAAGATCAAAACTGGAGACTTCAAGCAAGGATGCACATCACAAGCATGAAGAGTGGAAACAAACTAAGGACGGGCACAGACCCCAAAAGAAGAGTTGGCAGTCCGAAATGATCCAAGACAGCGAAGTCTGGGTCATGGCAAGAAGTGCCAGCATGAAGAGCTGGTCAAAGCCAGGAAAGTGCAAGCATCCGAGGGCTTGCTGCAGAAAACGGGAAAGCCCGAGGAGAACCGCTCCTGAGGCAAAAAGCCTGCGAAGGGGCACTGCAGAAAAGAAGACTCAAAAGAAATCCACCTTCGAAAATTCACATGCGCATGACATGTCAATCCTGGGTATGCTGGAAATCTTGCACGTGGGTTTCTCTTGATTTCTCTGGCGTTGCTTTCTTCTGACCGTCGAGCGGGATCGGCTGGACAGCGAGTCCTCTCCCTTGGTTTCTCGCATGATATACTGGCAAGGATTTGCATTTTCGGAGACCCAAAGTCTGGCTGTGTCGACACGATGGACATCGCTAGTGCAACCCATGGCCCCAACTCTTCGAGAGGAACACACATTTTAATAACATCGCCCCGGCATGCTCAGCAGAAGTACCAGACTCGACCGTCCCCCTTCCCCGGTTTTCGGAGGCGATACTCTTCACTGGATGTACTTAAACAACCCAAAGATTCCCTCAGGGCCTATGCCGCTACGATCGCGGCGCTGCCCGCGGACGGCGGCCTCGGCACTCATGGACTTCTCGGAACTGTTTCCCTGTAGACACCGCAGCCGTCGCGGAAGAAATGCAAGCAATCCAGCAGCTGCAAGACGTCAGTATACGGGTAAACAGTCAAGGACCTCTTCCTTCCCTATTCTCTGGCTGTCCTGCTGGCATCTCTTGGCTGTGCTCTTGCCGCGGGAGGCTCGGGCCTTACTCTGGTGCGCCGTCGTCCATGAGAGTGTTGGATGCGATTCAAACCATTGCCTCAGTCGGAAGCAAGACTCCAGTAGATATCCGCGATGACGGCAGAAAGCTAGGGCCCAAACCGTGCATTCGCCTTGGGCTGACAATGCACGGAGCCTTGCAGGGATTCGCGCGTCCACCTCAGGCAACCGCCGGGCCGGGGTGTCTCTGAAAGCACAAAACGAGCGGAGAGACCGAAGACTGCAGACTGTGCCCATGTTGCCAGGACGCGCGATGCTGTGCTCGTCACCGGCGAGAGCCTGACGAAAGACCCGTTCAGGCGTGCGTTGTCTTGCTCATCGGGGATGCTGCCTTCTCAAAAGCATGCCGGAGCGAATCAACGCGACGCTGCAAGTCGCGGACCTGCAAACATGCATGGGCGGGTCGACTAGCACCGGAACTCTTTTTCGGTCTTAAGTGTGCATCTTGGCCGAGACAAACGCATGCAAAGCTGTTGGGTAATTAAAAGGATCAAGGGAGCTCAGATCAATATGCATGGACATATCGCCACAGGAGTCTGACTCGACTCACGAATCGGCTCGCCCTGATTAGTTTGCACTCACTTTCCACTTTGAACCGGCCTGCGAAGACAGCTGCGAGGCGTGGCTGCCCGTGGTGTTTTGCAACGCCGAATACTGGCGGGCATAGCGCAAGGTGCTGGCCTCTGCAAGATCCATGTATTATATGCAAGTTGCTTCGGAGGTGGGAGCTGCCGCCAAGCGGCTGTCTCCACAGGATGTGAAGGATGCACCGCGGCAACCATGCACACCCGAGCACTGCTTCCCGTGATTGCGTCCTGGCAGCGCTTAAACATTCAAACACCAATGCCCTGTCAGTCAGCAGCAGCCATGCTTTCTACCCTGGCATAGGGGCATACATGTGTGTGTGTGTGTAGTGTATGCGTCTGTATTTGTGTGTGCATCGTCATTCTCCGGCTGACTGTCTGAATGCTGGGCAGACGACGACTGCTCATGCACACGCCACGTCCTTGAGGAGCCATGTCAGAGCTGAGTCCCGATACCTCGGCTCGGCAGGCTTCCGTGTGCATGGATTTCTCAAGCAACAAGTATCTCTATGCCTACATCGGGAACTAGGTAGGGAATTAGAAAGTTAGTTTACATGTTCCATTGCTCACAATATGTATATCACTTGCGGCAGGTAGACGGCGTCAGCAACGAACCCGACAGGACAGACTCGTCAAGACAGCCACGGTTCTCCTCGAAACGCTCGCATCCCATACCCAAGCAGCTGTAGATTATCGTACTAGGGTCGACAATGCAGCCATGGTCACGGCACATGCTCGCACTTGCCACTCGCCAAAGCTCCAACCACCTTGGCGAAGAATGGCTGAACCAGCTTTGACAGGACTTCTACAAGGTCAGCATGACAAAGCGAAGCATACCTTAGCCGCGGACGCGGCCCAGGGCAGATAGGCCTGAAGCATCATGACAGATTTCTCGACGGCATCGAAACGAAAGCTGCTTCTTGGCATTGCAGCCTGTGACCTTGAGTCGCGCGACAGTACAGCCATGTACAGCCCGAACATCGAGAACGAGATACAGGGCGCTAAAGTGAATATCCATCTGATACTACGTGTTCTGGCACCGATGTTTTTTGCTCTTTGCTGGAGGGATCAAAAGCTTCAAAGCCACTTCCGGGAGTGCTGCGACAAACAGCTGGGGCTTCATGTTGTCTCTTCCACCAGCAGATGGCCGACATCCGTGTGGGCCCGAGCAGCCTCCACGGTCGCTTAGCAACGTCACCCACGCGCTGCGGAAGCTCCAGATGGACCCCAAACCATTCAAGGTTCCCGTTCCCGTTCCGGGGGAGGCGAAGTGGAGACACAACTTGTCCATGGGCCCCATCCTGAATGCTGAATAGCTTAGGCTTAGCCCGAGGGCCTGGCGGCCACTCCCTGCCGGAGCACTTACATCTACCCGTGCCCAGGGTGAAATCTCAAGGGAAGAAGCCGACCGCAAGAGATTCATCCTCTCTGTCTCTCCTGGCGCTTGGAAGCCCTGAGCCGCCGGCTGAGGTTGATGTGCTCTCCCTCCTTCAGCTGCTCCGGGCCAAGGGCATGCAGCCCCGCCCTCTCACTCCCTGGGCACAGGGAGCTAGGATGCCACGAGACAGTTGTTCCGCTGCTGGGCGCGGGTGTCAATCCAAATTTCACAGGATGCCCTCCCCACCCCGCATGTCCGATACTTCACTCCCCTTTTTCGTGTTTCGGCCGGCATGGTCGGACGAGAAGGCTTCCCCAATTTCTCTTCAACCCCCTTGGCTTCCAACACAGACACGTCGCCCACCACAGAGAAATGTGCAGAATCTGACTTCAACATCTTCTTGGGCCGCTGAGATTGCACCGTATTTTGTTTTTGTAATTCTCACTAATATAGTGACATGTATGTCTGTATGTCATTCACAGATCCCTCCTGGGAGGCTGGGAGTTAGGAGCATCCGGGTCCCGCCTGCCAAGTCCACCAGATACACACGCGTCTCACGTGTCGTGGAGCCGGGAAGATGGCGCAGCCGAGAGGACGAGGTCTGTCAATGCCGAAAGACACAACTTGCAAAAAGGCTGGTTACCATGGCTTGGCCGATCTCGTATCCGCCGGTATAATGATTCACTGAGCG